ACTGGCTAAGGGGGGCTTTCAGAGCTCAAGAACCTCGCGAGCTGAGTGTACACTCAGACCAAGCCTCGCATGTCCTTGCTCGCGAAATGTCATCAGGTGCCGATAGGCCTGGATTGGGGACAAGACCGAGAAGCTGATTGGCCACTCCTTACCATTTATACCTCCCCTCTCTTCCATCCATACACTCTTCAACCAACCCTCCAGCGAGCATCAACCAGCAACATCAAGAAATGGCTTACGTTCCGACCTGGCTCGCCATGGCTCTCGCCGCCGTCGTTGGCATCATGTGCGCCTTTGCCCAGTCGCCGCCCTCTGGCCCGTGCCTCGGCGGGGCCTTCCCCGACGCCGGCAACTGCTGCCCGACGATGATCAACATGATCAACTTCTACCGCGATGCTCGCGGGTGCTACCCGACCCGCGTGGCCAACAACCAGGTCCTCTACGCCGACGTCGGAGGGTACATGCATTGAGCCGCCACAGCCATTCCACACACACACACATTGCTCATCTTTTTCGGTTGCTGACTGACCTCTGTTGTGAACGCATCGATCAGGTGCTTCCCCAACGCGCAGGGCACGTACAGGCCGGCGGGCGCCACTTGCCCCCCTGGCCAGCAGTGCTCGCCCACGTGTCTGCCCACCGTCGTCGCCACTCCTCAGCCCACTCGCCGTACGAACCCACCCTCAGCTCAGCCTCGCTCCCCCCCCCAGCAACCCTTCTCACCACCGCACAAATGTTCGATGCATGCACAACACAACACAACAGCGGCGTGCCCGGCCAACGCGCAGAGGGATCCGGCGGGCTGCTGCCCGCGTGCCTTTGGCATGTCGCTGTTCTACCGCGACGTGCGCGGGTGCTACCCGATCGCCACCAATGTGGGCGTGCTCTACGCCGACGCGAGCGGATGTTACCCCAACGAGGCCGGCGTGTACAACCCGGCCGGCATGGCTTGTCCCGCTGGTCGCCAGTGCGTCCCTGCCTGCGACTAATGCGCCTGTCGAGCGAGATCGCCACACGCCCTTCTCTCGCGTGTTGCCCCTCAGCCACGTGCCCGTGCAAGATGCTGATGCCATCTTCCCACCCAACACCTTTGCTGCATTCCATTTGTTGTTTTTTACACGACCATTAAACTTGCAATCTCCAGTCACAAGTGGTCAATCAATCCATCAACCCAGAGGGCAGCCGTTGCCACCACAGCACCGGCACATGGTTGAGGCGTCTGGCCAGCCGGATGGTATTGGTGGCCCACGGACATCTCTCGTTCCAGGGACAGCTGCTGGCCCGCGCCCACTGGAGCACCTCGAGGTGCCGCCGCCAGGAGTGCGGTCTGGCGTGGGCGTGCGTGAGTGGACGCGCGGAGGCTTTTTCGGGCGACAGGCGGAGGAATTTTACTTCACTGCATTTTATATTATGTTATTTTACACGAGAGAGGTAGATGGAGGCGTGGGAGGTGCTGCCGCTGGAGGTGTGGGCTCTGGTGCTTCGGCAGCCGCCCCTGGTGCCAGCTGACCTGGCGCGAGCCGCCTGTGTGTGCCGTGCCCTCCACGAGCTCATTGGACCCTTCATCGTCAGCCCCTCCCCCAAATCGAGCGTATGGGCCTCCGCGTCTGCCCGTCAGTGGCGCCTCGTCGCCGCTCAAGAAGCCCACCCCATCCTCACCCTCGCCGTTGGCAGCTGCGGTACTATTGCCAATTTATACATTATTTTTAGTAATAACTTATTGTTTTTGTTGTAGGGGTGCAGGTGGCTGTAGAGTACTGGCGGCAGGTGGTGGCTGAACATGACTTGTCGGGGTCGTCTGCGGGCGACGAGGTCGTCAACGTGCGGCTGTCCGATCACTCGCTTTACGGCCTGGGCACCCACTTCCGCCACACCGAACAAGGCAAGCCCCGCCCACAAGCCTGGACGATCACACTCTACTGACGTCGGCGCACACGCACACGCACACGCACACGCACACGCACACGCACACGCACACGCACACGCACACGCACGCAGGAGGTGTGGCTGCGCGGGCGATCTTTGCCCGTGTGGGTCCGCTCGGGTTCGCCCCTCACGTCCCATTTCGACAGCTGATCGATCCCAACAAGTACACACACCCAACTCGCATGAAGACACGCGTACAATCAATCGATCAATCAATCAACGCAGCTTACCCCTTCTCTCACCGCACACTCGTGTGTGCCTGCGTGTGTGCGTGTGCGTGTGCGTGTGTGCGTGCGTGTGCGTGTGTGTGTGCGTGTGCGTGGCGCGTGCGTGTGCGTTGTGTCATGTCGTGAACAGTCTCTACGTGGGGTCGGACCCCAACGCCAGCGGGTGCGGGAATAACTGGGCCAGGGGCTACTACACTGAAGGTGCCGAGCTCAGCGAGAGCCTACTGGAGCTGACGCGCAGGGAAGCCGAGCGGACCGACGCCATGGGCTCCATCGTCCTGTACCACGCAGCTTCGGGCGGCACTGGAGGAGGCGCTGGCAGCGCGGTCCTGGCGCGGCTGCGCGAAGAATATCCTGAGGTCCACCTGGCCACTTGCACCGTCTTGCCCAGCTTCAAGTACAACCCCCCCCCGCCCACCCTCAACAAGCTCGTACCGCCTGCCTCACCACCGCGCATCCACTATGACGTGTGCATCTGAACAGAGCTGGCTCTCCGTATGGCGACGTGTGTAAGGGTCCTGTAGGATGTATTTTTTATGTTTATTTTAACTTTTGTCATTTTTATGGGTGATTTTTTATTTAATGTTTCATTATTAACCCACCCTTTATCAGACAATTCGGTGCTGACGATGGCGCATCTGGTGGACCATGTCGATGCGTGCTTTGTTCTCAACAACGAAAGTGTCTACGACCTTTGGCACCAGGTAGGAGGAATACACCCGTGCCCTGTACCTTCTCTGAGTGTGGTTTGTTGTGTCGCGCTCGCTCTCGTGTGTGTGGTCACCTGATCTCACTCACTCACCCCTTTGACAAATCACAGCGGCTGCAGCAGCGTGTAATGCCCCGGTTGGGCGACTTTAACAAATTCTACGGCGGCGCCATGGCCGGGGTACGTTTTCGACCTATCGTCGCCCGTATGGCCCACATTCGCCCACTCAAGCCATTGGGGAGAGTGGGTCTGACTACGATAACGGTCACAATGCGCAGGTGACGCACACGCTCCGGTTTCCGACGCTCCCTACAACAACCACCAGCGGCGACTGCTACTACCCACCCGCGTCGCTGCGCCATCTTTGCGACCAGCTGGTGATGCCCGCTGGCGGCGGCAACAATCTTCACTTCCTGTCGCTGTCACGCACCCTGTGTGTGGAGGAGCAACCGTTGGAGGCCAAGCGACTCGTCGAGCAGCTGTGGACATCGAGCAGTCTGACGTGGTGGCCCCTGCGCCACCTCGGTGACGATGATGACCGCGGCAGGCGCGCGGGCCGCACGCTCGGCTCGTTCGCCCACTTCCAGCTCCCGCGCTCGGCCGCTGATCGGCGCGCAGCGCACCCGGTCGCCGACGCCATCGCGGCCGAGGTCCTGGCACTGCACTCGGCTCAGACCGTCGATCAAGCAGATCCGGACCTGCAGCCTGCCGACCTTGATTGGTGTGCGCAGGGCGATGGCCGAGACCTCCAGCAGCAGCGGCGGGGGTTCACGTTCGCCGGCGACCTACACAGCAGAGCCGCGCAGCCCTGGAGCGAGGTCAGGGTCTCGCATGAATCTGCTGCATGGCCGGCGGCGCGCATCACGGGCACGCTCGTGGCGCACTCGACGACGATCGCCCGGCCGCTCAACAACATCAACGACATGTTCAACGCCATTTTCAAGCGCAAGGCCTTCCTTTCTTGGT